ATTCACTTATTTCAAGTTATTTTGCTACTGGGAATAAATGTTCGATTTCTCTTTTGTAAATTATTTAAATATATAAGTGCATCGTTATTAAAAGTCGCTGTGGATATAACGGCACTACTAGGGACTTCCTGCTTTCTGAAGCCGTTTTAGCTAAGAGATGAATGACATTTTGAGATTAATCTTGTTTTGAACAAGTATATTATCATAATCTTATGGCATATGAAATGTATATAAAGTTGAATAATAATCTCGAACATAAGATCTTTTGTTTGCTGAAGTGATGGAGATGTACAAAATTACGTTGTTTTTACAATATTCATCAAACTTTCCAGTAAAGAAACTTATTTAAGAAATTAGAGCTGCAATTAAACAGGTTGAATAGCTTGTATTTACAATACATGACTCCGTTGAAGAGCAGAAAAATCATCATCTTAATAACTCAAACATTCTCGAACTGAATATTTTAGTTTTTGAAAAAAATCAAATATCTGTCCACTAACTTCATTCACTGCCATGCTTTACTACCAGGTCTAATTTCATCAGAAATTTGACTCGAGATGATTCCAATTTATGTTCAGACCTAACTTTTGATTGAAAATGCACAGAAAAAAATCAAGTCGCAGTTATATTTTGCAAGAAAGCTTAAAATAAGAACAAACTCTGGCGAAAGCAAAGACCAAAAAATAGACGAAGATGAAGAACTAATTTGTGAATATCTTCGTATTTTCTTATCAGTCATATATCGATAGTGTATAGTAATCGTCGAGGTAATGAATAAAGCAGAGTGATATTTGAAAATTTCAATATTTTTGATATGAAAATATTACTTCTCAGATCTCCAAAATGTTGAAATGTAGTAATAATAATTGGTGAATAATGCTGGAACTAATTATTATTTGCATTATGCAAATAATAGAAAATAGAAATAAAGTGATTAACTAAAAAGTAGTGTGTGCATAACTCCTGCTATCCGTCTTATTTTTTTTTCGAGATTTGTTAGGAAATCTTGAATTCTGTAACATGAGAAATATGAAGTCTAATAACCTTTATCAAATTTTATTTCTATTAAAAATTATTTAAGCTTTCAATCACAAATTTTTGAACTCAAAAACAGCAACATTTATAGCATTTCAAGCTATCGCCAAAATATTTAGATAGAAAGTAGGAAGATCAGCTCTGAATAAGGATATCTATTTTGGCTAGTAGTTGAATTGTTTATCCCGTAATAGCAGTTGCTCGTTCTCCACTTGATTCAATTCAGTTGAATATTTGAGCAAGAGGAGATAAAAAGATGAAGAAACGGAAAAAAAAAGTATGCAAGAGATTTAATCTAAAACGCCATCTTCTTACCAAATGAAGATGGTGGAAAGACAGAGTGGGAGGAGAAGGTAGGAAGAGAAAAAGAGAGAAATATCAGGGGTCAGATCTGATGTCAAATTCTGAAATTAAAAACAGCGCTTTTTGAATGTCCCAATAAATACACTAATACACTGTATACTGCTACAGGTTTCATCCAACTTCTTAACAAACTTTAAATGAACTCTTTCTCCGAACATCAGTGACTTTTCTGCATTTTAATACTCTTCCAATTTACAATAAAATACACGAATATACTTGTATATATATATATATATGTATATATTTTTACACTTATTTTTGCACTTTACTGACCGGTTGTGTTCCACTGGGTCTGACGATAGGCCCTTCTGTGACGGGCCAGCCTTGGATAATCAGTATCACATCGTATAATAATGACCGTGCAAGTGGCGCCCACTCACAAAGCCTGATGAATAGGGAAAGTATGCAAGGGCACCAAAGTATCAGCATCAGAGTCTGAACGCTGCCGCG